CTCTGGAAGTTGTCTCCGGGGCGCCAGAATCTCTGAGATCCAGCCGCCGGAATCTCTGAGATCCGGCGGCCCCATCGCAGAGATTCTCGATCTACAGTCCACCCGCATCGTTGGGAGGGGCAAGCTTCCCAAGGGTGCCCTTGCATCCTTGCCCCTCCTTGCCCCTTCGGCCAATCCTCAGCGACTTTCGCTGGCCAGCCGCGTTCGAAAGACGTTCTCGTGGGCCTCCCAATGCCCTTGCATCCTTACCGCGCATCCTGATGATACGGGTTGTGTCTATCCTCGCCCGATGTTATCCTCGTCCTGGCTTCGTCTTGACATTTCGATCCGATCCGATGTTCCGATCCGATATTCTGATCCGATTCGATTCCGACTCTGTGCCGATGCGGCCCGATTCGATGCACATGTCGGGCGGGGCCAGGACGACAGCGTCCCCGAACGCTCTGAGGAAGCCGCCGCGCCCGAGACATCCTCCAGAGCCGCCGGATCTCAGAGACTCTCGATGTATCCTCGCCCGATTTCGCTGATTGGGCCTCGCCCTGGCCTCGTCTTGACCTTCCGGTCCGCTCCGGGCGGCGCCCCGGGCAGCGGCCGCGGGCCCGCAAGCCAGAGCCCGACGGGCCAGCTGCAGCTGCAGGCTCTTGCGGCGGCGACGGATCCTCGGCCCTCCCTCCTTCCCTTCCTCCTTCCTCCTTCCCTTCCTCCCTCCTCCTCCTCCTCCTCCTCCTTCCTCCTCCCCCCTCCTTCCTCCTCCTCCCTCCTCCTCCTCCTCCCTCCTCCTCCTGCTCTTCCGCCTCCTCCTCCGCTCCCGCGGCCTGCCCCGCCGGCTGCGAGGCGTGGTGCTGCGCGGCGGTGGGCGTGGGCTGCCAGCCCGGCGGGGGCGCGGGCCCGCCGCCGCCGCCGTCCGCCAGCGACTGCCAGGCCGCGCAGCGGCCACGTCGCCGCCGCCGCCGCCGCTCGTCGTCTCGTCGCTCGTCGCTCGTCGCTCGTCGCTCGTCGCTCGTCCCTCGTCCCTCGTCCCTCGTCGTCGTCGCTCGTCGTCGTCGTCGTCGCTCTCGTCTGCCTCGTCGCTTTTTTTCTTTTGTTGGTTCGTCGTCGTCTCGTTCTCTCGTCTTCGTCGCCGCCGCCGCCGTCGCATGCGTGGTGTTTGTCTCGTCGTGTTCGTCGTTCGCGTCGTCTTTTTTGTTCCGTCGTCGTTGGCGCCGTCGTCGACGTTCTTGCCGTGCTCGATGTGTTCATCGTCGCCATTGTTCTGGCAGGTTTCGTCATCGTATGCGATTTCGTTATCGTCGTCCTCGTCGACCCCGCATCGGTCCGCCGTTTTCCGTCCCGCTGTTTGTTTGGGGTTGCACGTGTCGCCGTCGTCGCCTCGTCGTTTTTGTTTGTTTGTTGTTGTTTTGTCGTTTTGTTGTCGTCGTCGTCGACATCGCCGTCGTCGTCGCTTTTTCAACGTCGTCGTCGTCCTGCAGGGCCGCGAGCGTGACCGTACAGTACCTCGCGGTCTGGATTGGAAAAGCCGTGAATGCTTCCCCCGGAGGGGTGCGGCGCGCGAGCGCGACCTCCCTCCTCCTCCATCTCCCTCCTCCTCCTCCTCCCTCCTCCTCCCTCCTCCCTCCTCCTCCTCCTCCTCCTCCTCCTCCTCCTCCTCCTCCTCCTCCTCCTCCTCCCTCCCTCCTCTCCCTGGGCCCCTCGTCGTCCTCCTCCGTGCCTGCTTCTCCCCCCTGCCTCCTCCCTTCCCTCTCCCTTCATCCCCCCCCCCTCCCTCCCTCTGCTTCCCCCCCCGCCTCTCCCCCCGGGCTCCCCCCTCCCCTTCCCTTCCCTCCCCTCCCCCCTTCCCGTTCCCGTTCCCCTCCCCCTCCCCCTCCCCCTCCCCCTCCCCTTCCCTCCCCCTCCCCCCCCCTTCCCGTTCCCTTCCCTCCCCCTCCCCCCTTCCCTTCCCGTTCCCCATTCTGGCCGAGGCGTTCGCAGCGCGCCGTCGTCCTTCCGCCGCCCCGTCGCTCGGCAGGGTGCCGCCGCGGGCCGGCCGCGCGTCGGTGGGGCTCGCGCGCGGCTGCCCCCCGTCGCCGCTGCCCCGATGGAGGCGGCGCTGCGTGGCGCCGTCCTCGGAGGCCCCCCCGCGCCGCGCCGCCGCCGCCGCCGGTCGGGCGGCAGCCTCGGCCGCGCCTCCTTCCCGCGCAGGCGGAGGCTCCCGAGCTGCCGCCGCGGGGCCCGCGGGCCTCTCCCGCGCCCTGCGCCCCTCGCGGATCGGCGCGGCCTGGAGCGGTGCCGGCGCCGCCGTCCGGGCGCGCCGCCCGGGAGCGCCAGGCTGCTGGGGCGGGGCGGAGCCGCGGCTGCGGCCGCCGCCGGCGCGGAGCGCGGCGGCTCCTGGGCCGGCGCCCTGCACTGCGAGGGTCCTGCGAAGGAGTGAAGCAGCACAAAAAGGCCATGCGCAGAAACTGGTGGCCCGCTCCGCGCCCTGGCGGCGCCTCCGGCGCCGCCCTTCCGCGCGCTCTCTGGGCACCAGGGGGGGGGGGGTCCAGCGCTGTTTACAGTGGGGGCCCATGCCAAGAGACACCCTGCTCGCCTCCAGGGTGCCCTGGGTTCCTTGGGGCTCGAGGGTGCTGTCGTGGAAGGCCTGACGCGCCCACACCGAACAGTCAGTGGACGTCCTGGGGCCTCAGGTCGGGGGAGCGTAAGACCCGGGTTTGCCAGGTCTCGGGTTCGCCATCGTTTTTTGACGACCGCGCCTCGGATTTTGACGAGGAGGAGTTTCGTGGGATGTCTGCAGCGGGAGGCCTCGTCAAAATGCAGGCTCGGCCTCGTCATTTTTTTGACGACCTCGTCGGGGATTTCCGAGTCCCCTGTACCCAGGTCCTACGTCCCCCTGATCAGGGTCGGGTTGTTTCTCGTGGGAGCTTCCTTGCGGACTTGCCTCCGCTGCATGTTTCTGGCCTTTTGCCTGTGGTCCTGCCGCTGCCCCTGGCCGGCGGTGCTGCAGGGAGGTGCGGGCGGCGGCCTCGGCCGGGCGGCGGTGGCGCCCCCCCGCGGCTGGGGCGCGCCCAGCGAGGCGGCGTCCTCGATGAGCGGGGGCGTGGAGGCGATGCCGCCGGTGGTGGTAAGTCGAGCGTGTCCCGCTACAGGAGGAATGTGATTCAAGGATGGTAAAAACATCGCCTGGGGACAGTTTTTGTTTTTTTTGTTTTCTTATTATTCTTCCTTTTCCCTATCTATATATCTATATATAGATATATAGAGAGAGAGAGAGGATTTTTCGACCGTCTGGGTGCATTTTTTGATTATTTGTGCAAGTTTCGCGCGAGATCCGCCTGTAGGGGGACACGCCCGACCTAACGGTGGTGGGCGAGGTGCGCGAGCGTGCGCGTTTGCTGGAGCCGTGCCTCGCGGCGCCGAGCGTCCGCCGCGGCTCCGCTGCCCCCGTCCTCGAGCGATGGTCGCTGGACGACCTGCGGGTGCGCGCTCCCAGCTGGAGAAGCTGGAGCGGGACTGAGGGGCGCTGGCCTGTCTGGGCTTGGGTCGGGCGTGTCCCCCCTAAAGGCGGATCTTAGGCGAAAATTGAGAACTAGTCAGAAACATGCCACCAAATAGTCGAAACATGTTGGAACATTTTCCCCAGACTATTTTTTATGATGTTTGAATATGATTCCTGTAGAGGGACACGCCCGACTTGAGACAGGGGCGCTGGGCCTGTCTGGGCCCCTCAGGCGTCTCTTGGTTTGGCCTCTGGCGGTGCGCGCCCCAAGCGTCGCGGGGGTAATCCCAGCTGCTTCCCCCCCTCTGGCTGGCAGCACTTGGTGCGCCCCAGGGGCGCACTTATAGGGGTGAGGGTGGCAGTACAACGAAGAGGTGGCCACTTTGAGAATACGCCACGGACGGCTGGCGACACCTTTCTTCGCCGCAGGGGGCGGCGGGTTTGGGCAGGGCGCCACAGCGCCTCGGGTGGAACAAACAAAGCATCGTCTGGCGATTTCTGGCCTCTTCCCTGAGTCCTCTCATCCGGTCGCGTTTGTGATTCACCCGCACGTTCTCGGTCATTGCCTCATTGGTCCCCTCCTCGTTCCCGCCCCATCCTGCCATTCCCCTTCCCCCTCTCTCTCCTCCACATCATCGTCGTAGTCCTCCTCCTTCTCCTCCCTTTCCTCCTCTTTCCCTCCCCCCCTTTTCCCCTCCCTGCCCCTGCGTTCCTACCCCCAAGCATGCAGGAGGAGTCGATGAGGAGGAGGAGGAGGAGGAGGAGGAGAAGGATGCAAAGACCAAGACAAGCTCATGGAGGCCCTGCTCTCGGGTGCTCTGCTACACCCATGCGTGCACAAGACAGCTGTGCTCCTGAGGGGGGCCCACAGACAACCTGCCTGCCTGATGAGAATTCCAGCTTCACTGTGTTGACTGTCGCGCGCTGCAAATGACAGCATTGGCTGATCGGGGCTCTTGGGAGGCACGCCTCCCCACGCAGGGCCCGATGCAGACGCACGCCTCACCCCGCCTTCCCACGACCGGCCCCGCGACGACCAGCCCTCCAAACACGATCACTTCCTCGGCCTTTGCCTCGGCGGCGCTGCAACTCCAAAACGGGAGCGTTGAGCCTACGTAAAGGAAGGAGAGTCAGAGGGGGGCAGGGACTGGGACGAGGAGAAGACGAGGGGTCGTGGGAGGTTGGTGGGAGTACGAGTCAGTCAGTCAAGAAGCCATACGCCCAGTGGCGTGTGGGCGAGACAACGCATTGCGCTGTGCTGCTCCTGGTGGGCCTTGCCTCCGGCAGGGCGCGCGGGCAGATGAACGCGAAAATTGGTGCCGCGATGGACGCTAGAGAGCAAGCCGCAACACGTCAGTGACGCAGAAAAGGAAACGGTGCGCCCCACCACTGTGAAGCAGACAGTGTAGGACAATGGGTACGAGGCAGGCAGGGAATAGGACTAGGACGGTGGCCTGCCTCCGAAGAGGAGGGTCGAGGGAGAGAGGGGGGAACTGAGGGCGCCCTCCCCGCCCCGTGCCCTGGCCTGCAGGCGGGAGGCCCGGAGTGGCGCCGCGAATGGCCGGAGGACAAGAAGCGGTGGTGCGGCGCTCGGCCCGAGATCACGAGACGGAGCAAGGGAAGGTGAGGAGAGGGGGGATTACAGGATTCATCGGGGGTGGACAGACCTCCTACCCTGACACGTCGATTAAGGAATTGGCCGTTTTCGGTTCGCGAGAGGGCGCCGCGGCCGTCAATTTTGCGGGTCTACGTCCGTCGGTTTCGGTCCCAGGCCGTCTTCACTAAGGCGAGGTGTACTAAAGGGAGGTTTGTCCACCGCCGAATTAAGCAAACACCCGGTTTTATCCAGTATCCAAGGTTGCTTGTTTTTCCGGTTTTTGGGCCAGGTTGGTTGTTCTTCGTCCTGGGATCCTCGTTCGTACCGTGTTCGAGTCATTACCGTTTTGTCCTGCCGTTGCTTGATGTTTTGGGCTGTCATTTGTTTCCCGTTTTCGTGGTTGGCCGAGAGCCTTGTAGTTGTAATGTACGACGAAATCTCCCAGCGTTTTTTCATCAACTGAAGGGGGGAAGACACGGGCCGATGCGGCCCCTGAAGGCCGCGGATGGTGGCCAGAGAGACGAGTTCGAGATCAATCAGAACAAAAGAGCTTCTAACCCCACTGCCACGATGAAGGCGTGGCCTCACTTGGGTCCCCGTCCTCGCATTTGGGAGGGTCATTCTGGACAGTCTGGTCTGGCACACCTGCAGAAAAAAATACCCCTCTGCCCTCACTGTTTTGGGCCCTGCTATCTTGGGTCTTCCCCTCTCAGAAGGGGTTATGGATACTGAGCCTGCTTGCTCGAGCAGGGCAGGGGTCCGTGCGCTGCCGCGGGAGCGGTGCTGCTCTGGGGCCGCGAGGGGCCTCATGCGTGTGCCTGCGGCGCGCACGCCAGGCTCGAGCGGGCAAGAGCAGGCGCTCGCACGCGTGGTACCGGCAGGCGGGGCAGGGCCTGCGGTAGGTTCGCGTCGTGTCGACCGGCGGCGACCTCGCCGCCGGCGCCTGCGAGTCAGGACAGGTCGACGTGGAACGATCGGACGTTTCTGAGACGGCCGGTCGTTCGAGGTTAAAAAAATGGTCCCCGCGGTGTCAGAAGCAAACGCCGAAGGCGGCACGACACGAACCTGCCGCACCTGGGCCTACAGAGCCCAGAGGAAAGGACTTCCCAAGGTCTCCACCGCAGCCGGAAGATAGTCACCAGATCCAGGCCCTAAACTGAAGTCTGGCATGTCCCTCTGCAGGAGGAATATTCAAAATAGTAAAAATAGTCTGGTTACGATGTTCCTACCGTTTGTGATCATGTTCGAGCAGTCTTCAACTATCTTTGATTGTTCCTCCAAAATCCGCCTGTAGGAGGACATGCCCGACCTAACCTTAAACTCAGTGGACGACATACCCATACCTCTACCCTTCCCTCTTTTTGTTCTCTTTTTCAGCCCCCTGGCGCGCTCCTTGCGCCAGGGATGGGGGTCCAGCACGGATCCAAGAAATCCGCGCGGAGCTCCAACAGTTTATGTTTATGACGTTTCTTCTTTTTCTGATTAGGGGTATGCGGGGAAGAGGGAGGCAGGGCGTGGCTGTCCAGGGTTAGACCCCGCTGGTTGATTCGATGCTGCATGCCCATATTTGCGCGGGCATCGATCGGTTATATGCCCAACCCCGAGCGTGATCCCCCCACCCCCGTAGACGTGGCTCGGTTCGATCGATCGGATGATGAACACGATGGAGGGCAACCCCTCTTATTGAACAAGAGGGAGTTCCCAGAGAGGGTGGCCGATGATGGCAACGGGGACACATGATGAAGCGCACGTCCTCACCAGAGCCGCGAGAGGCTCGGCCGGCGCTGAGGAGCCAAGCGCTGCCTCCGAAGGTACAAGCTTCCATTGGGGAGGCCAGAGCTTCTGATCCCAGGCCCTGCCCCGCCTCACTCCCCCGGCCCCCCCTCCACCTCTGGTCTGCCCCTGCCCCCCCCCCCCCCTGTGCAGCACTTGCAGATCCTCGGTGCCACGATCGGCTGCACCGCCTCGCGCGGCACGCGCGCCTGCGGCCATCCGCGCCGGCGGGGCGCAGGTGCTGCAGCCACACGGCCATCCCCTTCGAGGAGTGCTCGCCCTGTTCGGCGGGCAGAGGGCCGAGCGAGGGTGAGGAAGGCGAGGAGGGTGAGGATCGATGCTCCACAAAAGGTCTGTCGGCCGCGTGGGAGTTGTCCCGTTCAGTTCCGCCGACAGCACGCAGTCTGCGCTGGCCCTCGGAGCAGCGCCGGCGTCGCACTGGAGGGCGGTACCACACGTTTTGAGGATCATCGAGAGGAGATAGGAGGAGGAAGAGCAGGAGGAGGAGGAGGAGGAGGAGGGGGAGGAGGAAGAGGATGAGGAGGAGGAGGCAGAGGAGGAGGGGGATAAGGAACTCTATCCAACGCTCCCCTCGCCTCTTTTCGCTGCCGTCGCCGCCTCACCTAACATCGTCTTGGCGTCGCCGACTGTGACGGACTATTATTCTTCACTTTGTTGCGCCCATCTGCGCAGCACCGAGGGTACAAACGCGTGCGCGTCTGGCTTCTCTCCGATCGGCCGGCTGGCTGTCATAATCCCTTGTGCTTGCGTGCGTCCGTTTGACGAAACACTTTTCACGAAGCCCATACCCATGGCGTCAGGTGCATCCTCTCCGAGGCTCAACTTGGGACCGCTACGAGAAGACAATCCTGGAAGTTTGCCTATAAACGCGAAGATTTCCGCAGAGGCAGAATTAGGCAATTTGCTGGATATCAGCCGAAGTGTCCACCACAACCTCACGCAACTGTGTTATTGAGACCGAGAGCCCTGGGGCTTCTCCCAATGCTTTTCTTCATAGACGGATTCCACTCACTGCGTCGGCGGATTTGGCTCGGGGCCTCCGCAGAATGTCAGCGAAACGGACCCAGCGAACAAAAAACAGTTTCGCCATCGGGTGAGGGCGGCGGTCGCGTGGATACCTTTGTGGGCTGCCGCCAGAGCCGGAGGCAGACGAAGAGTGGTACGGCAGCAGTGCCCCGCCCAGGGCCCAGGCCCCGCGACCATCATCCGTTCATCAAGCCAACGCGATCAGTTGTGATTCCTCCGACGGCGGTATCGCCGTCTCCGCAGACGGAGAGGTGTCATGCAAGTCGGCACCTCGCCCAGCCAGGGACGCAGCCACCGAGCATGGCCTGAATGACAATTCCGGGGTCTTACCCTGGACCGCTGCCAGGTGTTGCCGATACGGAAACAGGACGCTCCCTGCCAGCGGCGCTCGATGGCTGTGTCACCGAAGCCTCGTGGCCCGAGCTGCGAGAACACATGGACATGATGGTGGCTGCGATGCCAGACGCTGGCCATCAGGCGTGTACGGAGCTTGGTACCGACGCCATTGAGAGTGAGGAGACATTCGCCCCCACGGCGTCGCCACCGACGCCTAACGCAGCTATCGAGCCAAAATTACTCGCCAGTAAACGGCCCCGGGAAGCCATCATCCTATCGATCATCTCACCATTCGGGATGCGTTCCACAATTTACAGCCCCTCTGGAAGGATGCTGCAGCCAGATTCGGGGGTTGACTTCGGGAACTGTGTTATTGAGTCGCGGGCGGAGAATCTGAACTGGACTGCGGCGAGGAAAATAGTTACTCGCACTCGCTCGCGTGAGCGCTACATGGCAAGGACACGCGCCAGGGCGGACAGAACCCCGTCCAGCATGTCGACGTCGACAGTTTGGACGGCACGCTCAAACGTGTCGAGCCTCCGCATTAATGAGCCTTGTGTGAACCGGGGACCCTTCTGCGCACCCTTCCCTGGAGGATGCTGCCGTGCAGCCAGAGGTCAGTGCAAGGAACCCGTATGCCGCGAGTGCTCGCTTAGCTGTCCTCTCTGCGGCCCGTTCTCCTCCCACCGGACCGCCCTCCTCCTCAGCCTCGCAGCTGCCGGGCCCTTGGAGGGCACGCGTGGGCGCAGGCAGAGGAAGAGGAGCGAGAGACGGCAGCCGCGGAGAGGGAAGAGAGCCTGCACGGCTGGAGGAGCCGCCCGGTGCGCACTGCGGTTCGGCAGCGCGCGGCCGCCCGCTTGCAGACCGATGCGGATCGCACTGCCATGCTGCGTGCCCTCGAGACTGCTGGGCAACGGCAGCGGGCGGCTGCAGCCGAGCGGGCTCGGCGCGCATCTGCCGAGCTCCGCGAGGTCTAGCCCAACGGGGTCGAGGCCTCGGCCGCCACGGAGGTGCGCGCCCAGGACATGCAGGAGCATGTCGCCGATGGAGCTGGGCGCGTTGTTCGGGGGAGCGTAAGACCCGGGTTTGCCAGGACTCGGGTTCGCCATCGTTTTTTTGACGACCGCGCCTCGGATTTTGACGAGGAGGAGTTTCGTGGGATGTCTGCAGCGGGAGGCCTCGTCAAAATGCAGGCTAGGCCTCGTCATTTTTTTGACGACCTCGTCGGGGATTTCCGAGTCCCCTGTACCCAGGTCTTACGTCCCCCTGAAAGCTGGGCGCGTTGTCCGAGCTCCCTCCGAAGCCACGCCACGTGGGAGGGGTGCGCAAGCTCCACGAGCGGCCGCAACCGTTGGGGCTTCCTTGGGGGGTTCCACGGGGGCTTGCGAAGCGCGTGAGGGATTTAGGTTCGATCTCCACGGTCGCCGGCCGCGCGATCTGGAGCCTCGGCCGCAAGCTGGCCAAAATCCGACCCTCCCAGCACAACATCCAACGAACCAGTCAACCAGCAACGCACCTGCGCGCGCAACCGATGCGGCGACGCCAACAGACACCAAGGTGTCGCCGAAGCGACACCAATGCAACGTCACGGCGACGCCAACGGACACCAAGACGACACCACGGCGACACCAACCGACACCATTGTGCCGTCGACTTCCGCGAACGAGGGTTCCAAGAACAGACAGCAAACCCCTGGCCCCAAACCAACCAATATGGTACGGAACGACCTGGCGATCGAAAGGCCGCAGCTCCTGTAAGGTCCAACGATCCACGTGGTGTCAGAAACCAGCCCGGGGGTCGTTACGACGCGAAATTGCAGTAGGGGGAGGATGAAAGCTTCTGAGCAACAGCGCGTGCTTTCGAGAAGCAAGCCGTGGCATACACATCATGTTTCGGATGCCCGTGCTGATCTATCGGGTCGGCACCGGCCCTTCCTCCGTGGCGCGGAGGTCGCCAGGGAGCTCCAGCGCCGATCCGATACGTCCGCGCGGACCTCCGAGAGTTTAATGCACATGCCACTGTGTTGCTCCTCCAACTTCTGCACAGGAGCGCGTGCCCATCGTCTGGCAGGCAGGGGTCGAGGGATGATCCTCCCTCCCGCGCGCGCCTCAGGAGCTCGACCTCGACAAGGACGGGTCCGTGGTCGCCGCGGAGCTCGTCGCTGCGGCCGCCACGAGGGACGTGGCCGCGACGATGCAGCAGCTCGACCTGGATGCCGACGGGGCCGTGACCCAGGAGGAGTTCGTGTGGCCCGGGTGCGACGCGCCAGCCGAGGCGTTCGACTGTGGCGGGCCCAGGTGTCCTTAGCAGCAGGGAAGGGCAGGTTGAGACAGTGGAAGTTGGCCTCTGGGGGTCCCTCCTCGTCGCCACGGCTGGCCGCAGCTTTAAACATTCGTGTCTTCGGGCCTTGGGAGGTGTCTGGGGCCCGATTTTGAGTTGGCGTTGCCTCAATGCGCCCTGCTCCGCTGGGAGGGCGGAGGAGAGGGACGCGGGGAGGGTGGAGGAGAGGGACGTGGGGAGGGTGGAGGAGGAGGAGGAGGAGGAGGAGGAGGAGGAGGAGGAGGAGGAGGAGGAGGAGGAGGAGAGGAGGGGGAGGAGGAGGGGGAGCAGGAAAAGGAGGAGGAGGAGGAGGAGGAGCAGGACCAGGAGGAGGAGGAGGAGGCGGAGGGGGAGGCGGAGGAGGAGGAGGAGCAGAACTTGGGGCGAGTCCAAAAGGATGATGGGGAGGGAGGAGGAGGGGGAGCAGTGCGAGGGAGGGAGAGACGGATGGAGGAAGCTGGGCCGCCGCCAGGAGAAATTGTGCGCGGAGACGTTGAGTGCCGATTCGGGATCGGATGGTTGAACCTCTTCGTTGCGGACACCCCCACACGCGTTCTCTTCCAATTGGACCCCTCCCGCTTCCCCTCTCTCTTCCCTCCTTTCTCTCCATGGCCCTCCTCTTGTCCTGCTTCCCCTTCCCTCTTTTCTCAGGGCCCCCCTTGTCACAACTACACGCGTTGAATACTGCTCTCCTACCTCCACCGAAGATGTGCCGATGTGCAGAAAGTGGCAGCTATGGCGCGAGCGCGCCCAGGTTGCCTGTTTCCCCTCTCCTCACCCCTTGCCGTTTTCCCTCCCTCCCTTCGTTTCCACTCTCCTCCCGTCCGACAGCTCCTTCTTCCAATCGTTCGTTCCTTCTCTCGTTTCTATGATGTTTTACGTTCATCGGTAGTTGCAGCGGTACGCGCTTAGGGGTCCTTTGTTTTCCTCAGTTCGGGGTCCATCTTTTCTACTCACCCCTCGTCTCGTAGCCGAACAGGGTCGGCTCCACAAAATCAGAGGCGTGTCTGCGTGCCGTGAGGTGCCTTTATCCTCTCACCAGTTCTTGCTACAGGCGTCGGGGTTGCTAGACGTTGACAAATGTGGCCGGAAGCCTTGGACTAGCAATACCACCCTTGAGCTCATCATTCCGTGATCGCAGGCCAGACTCGCCGGCGACGTCGTGCACGCGACGGACGCGGCGAAACGCATCAGAGCGTCGGTCGCAAGGGACAGGGCCCGACGGCTAGAAGGGTTCGCACAGACTGGGCGCAGAATTTGTGAACTACGACGGGTTTTTTCCATATGCAGGGTCGGCTCCGTGGCAGCGCAGCGAATTGGTCGACAGCGACAGCCAGGCGGACAGGCTGGCAAAACAAATGTTCAGTGAGCTGCCGGGCCAGACGCAGTATTGACAGTCATATCTGAGTTGAGCGAGAACCTGCAGGTGAACTCAAGTGCTATCACAGAGGACGAAGTCTCTCTGGTTGCAAAGAAACTGAAACAACCGGTCGCGTTGTCGCCCTCGACGATCTGGCGCCCGAGTGTGGGGATGCCGCTGCAGAGGAAGGGGTGTCTGCGCTCGTTCGGGTTGCCAGATTATGCAACCTAGTGTGGACGCAGTGTCGTTCGTGTCCCTGACGCTTGGTACAAGGAACGTGTACGCATCATCTACAAAAGGACGACCCGGCAACGCGCGACACCTACAGGCCGATTGATACGCCTTCTGCCCATTGGGTACACGGTCTTCGCGATTTTCCCGCTGCAGAGGCTGAAAGATGCTCGGGCCGAAGACCGCACATGGCCAACTCAATAGTTGGCCGTCGCTCTAAAAGAGGCACCGGTGATGCGATGTACGTGGCCGGACGAGGCATAGAGGACGCCTGGCCAACCACGAACGGCAGCACGACGTTTTTGCTTTAAGATAGGTCGACAACATGCGATCCGGTGGCACCAGACGTTTGGCAACCTCGCTCAAGAATTTGGGGTACCAAAACGGATTCGTAGATTTGGCTTGCAGTGTCAGAACGTTTGTGGTGTCCGATTTCGGTGTGTCGTCCGCTGAACGGGACCAGTGTCTCGGCATTCGCCAAGGGTGCCCATCGTCCCCGATTATGTTCACCATCGCCATGACGACTTTGATGGCAGACGCGCGCAAGGAACTCTTGGCTGCGGTTACCAGGTCTTCCCGATGCGCACTTCGTCTGGGGAGTGATCGCGCGGGCGTCACTTTGCTCCTCGCTGCTGCTCCCGTCGCAGTTGGCGAGCTGATGGCGTACGCCGACAACTGCCGCTCACCTGCAGAGCAGCGTCGGAGATCAAGTGCAACAAGAAGATGCTCTGACTTTCATCGGCACCCAGCTCGCGTCGGACCGATGATGTGGAGCGGATCCGAACAGGGTACTCGGCAGGGCCAAACCAGACATCAAAGCGTTGACGTCGTTTTTTTTTTTTTTTTTTTTTTTTTGTTTTCTCTCTCTCGTTGAGCTGACAGAGAAAGACACGCGATTCATCGCGCGCATTGCATTGTTTCCAAGCGTGTGTGTTGTTTTTTTTCGCAGCTTGTCTCAACTAGGCAACGCGTGGAATATTTGAGGGCTTGTAGGCACGACGTTTGAGGTCGGTATTCGGGGCCCCGTATGCTAGTGCCAGTCCCCTGTCGAACACGGCTGTGCTCAGCATGACTGGAGAACGGCCGCTCATTCTGCTCATCGTCAAACGACATGAAATCTCCTTTGGCCCAGGGCGCCTGGCGCGCGGGCAACGATCCAGTGAGACAGTCTGTGTTTGAAACAAGCGTTTCCGCTTTCAAGCAGCCGCGACGTCCCTGGAAGAGAGAACACCCCAGGCAAATGTGGGGAGTAATTGTAATGAACAGTTGTTTGGGCATTGTTGTCACCTTTGCCCGTCTTGCTGAGCACTTCCGCCCGGAGGGCGGTGTAGCGCCCGCATGGGAGTCAGCTGTCCGCGCATGGTACCTTCGTCCTTTGTGCTGTAGCGTACTTTCTTGCTTGCCCACCGTTTGGTGCAAGGCGCTCTGATCTGACCTGACTGTGTTCTTCACGTCGCCGCCTTTCTGCTGAATCTGCGTCCCCGCCTGCGTCTGTCTCTCCTAGCCCCTCTCCGCTCAACGCTCTCGCTTTCCAGCGCAGAGCAGGTTCCTTGTAATTCCTTTCTCCCCCGTTCCCCATTGTTCTTCCTTTTCCACCGCGATGCCCCGTTTCGCCCCTTCTCCTCCCTCTCTTACCTGACGCTCCGTTACGCACCATCGGACAGATCTCGGTTGGCGTTACCCGCTACTCTTTGATCGGCTCCGATACTGGATCGCGCTTGTGGGACTCTAGACCGGAGGGCGTTCCTGAGGTGACGAGAGGCATTCGGACACGCGGCCGATGGCAAGCACCTCGAAATATTCGCGGGGCGTTCGGTGCTTCCGGGCACACTGGGCACCACCGCGCAGGCCGCGTCCGGCGCTGCCCCCGGAATCCTTGCTCCCAGGCCCCCTGCACGGGCGCCGAAACGTCTGCGCCTCGCGCCCCGCGGTCTGAATCGAAAGGTTGCCCTTTTCCCGGGGGGGCCTGGCGCGAGGGCGCGCCGATGGCCGCACTAGGCGGTGTCCGACGCAATGCGAAGCGCGAAGCTGGCTTTCGGGTGACAACGGGATCAGGGCAGAAAGTGTCCGCCGTTTTCGGCCTTTTGGGGGCCCTCAGCTGGGCGACGCAGAAGAGCGGGCTCGTCTCGTCTTCACTGACGTTGGCGCGCAAGCTGCCCGCGTAAGGTCGCGCGTGAGCGCTCTCGTTTCCAGCGTGGCGCGCCACGCCTTTAGCACGCTTGAACGCCCGCGCAAAGTCGCGATGTCGTCTTGCGTGAGACCCGTTTCCTGTTTCGTCGATCAACAGTCCCCGGTGCCGTCAACAAACGGCACAAGATAAGCAATTGGCCCTGGGGACAGTTGATGGAGACCTCTGTGGGTCCCATGTTGACAGGGATGAAGACTTGGGGTTGTGGAAACCTCGGAACTACCGATGCCGTTACGGTCCAGACTGCGTTTTTTCTTGGGGGGGTAATTTCGAAGCGAACCCAGCGGTGGCGACGAGGGCCTCTCAGGAACCTCCACAAAAGGGGGAACGGGCGAAGGGTAGAGCTATGGGTACCTTTTCCTCCGATTTCCTGCTGCTCCTGGTCCTGCTCTTCCTGGAAAAAACGAGGAGGGGAAGGAGGAGGAGGAACACCGGGCGGAGGAGGAGGTGGAGAAGGCGGAGGCGGAGGAGGAGGAGGCGGAGGCGGAGGAGGAGGAGGAGGAGGAGGAGGAGGAGGAGGAGCGAGGCGGAGGAGGAGAAGGGGAGGAGGAGGAGGAGGAGGAGGAGGAGGAGGAGGAAGAGATGGAGGGAGGAGGCGGCGAGGAACCAATGGGCAGGGCGAGGAGTCGGGGGGCTGCCCTCCCCGCGGCGGCCGCCCGAGCCAGGAGTGGCAGACCGCCTGGCCCGCGCCGAAGAGGCAGTGGTGCTGCGCAAACAAGGACGCTATCGGGCGAGGGGCGCATGGTCGCCGCCCACCGCACCATACCCAACCCGAGGCCCCGATTTCGCCCTTCACTTCCAGACCACACCACACCACACCGACCCAAACCACACCAACCACACCACACCACGCCGACCCAAGCCACCCACCACACCAGCCCAGGGGCGCCCTCGAGAGGGCGCGAGGTTGTTCGCGCTTCGCGCTCCGCGGTTCGGCTCCGATCCCTCCTCGTCCTCCTCTTCTCCCCTGGGAGGCGGCGCGAGAGCGCGAAGTTATTTGCACTTCGCGCTCCGCGCAGCGCGAAGCGCGAAGTTGGGAGCCCTTGCCAACCCAACCCAAGCCGAAGGCCCCGATTTCCCCTTTATTTCCAGTGGGGGGGAGGGACACTGAAAACAAAAAAACACTCATGGAACCCATGCCCGCCCCAAAACCGAAGTTCGGGTCCTCGGTTCGGTTGGGGTGGTCTTGGTAGGTTGCCAGATGGGAGCAGGATGTGGCGTTTTCTCCACGCCGACGGGGCCAGTGCATCGGCGATGCGGCGCGATCCCCCGAATACATCGATCGACGAAGAAAAGACGGCTGTAAACATAAACTTTTGTCGCTGCGAGCGGATATCTTGGATCCGCGCTGCGCCCCTTCGGCGGCGCCTCCGGCGCCGCCCCTGGCGCGCTCCGCGCGCCAGGGAGGGGTCTCCAGCGCAGATCCAAGAAATCCTCGCGGAGCGCAAGAAGTGTACGTTTACGCAGTTCCTGTTCTTCTAATCCTATCCGACCCCATCTAGGAGGTTTCGGAGAACGAGTTGCGATTTCGTGCAAAGCCTACTTCTGCGGTTCCCATCTGCGCGGGGTATCGGACAACCCCTCTGGGGTCGCCCGGCTGCAGACGTCTGCGGGACTCTCGATGGATGAGACTTCGCGCACTTCGATTGGCGCCCTGTGCGAAACGGGGACCCAGACACGCTCCGATGACATAGGATGACGGTGATCCGCAGCCACGTTGGCTTAAGCCCTTTGAGCTCGAGCCATCTGAGCTCGAGCCCTGTGGCCGACGGCCTCCGGGCTCGACGCCGTCGAGTTCGAGGAGTCCCTTGAGGAGAGCCGATGATCTCTGATGCCTTGCTGGGGAGCCATGCCCAGCCAGCGAGCACGCGCGGGACGTGCAAGGCCAGCGCCAGTCTGGCGGTGATGGGGCTGAGGCACTGGTGGCCAATGACCACGGACCGTGAGTACCTTGTCCATACCAAGCGCCGCCTCGTGTGGAAGTACGTGTCGTTCTCTGGCTGCATGTTCTTGTTTGAATTTCCAATGCTTGCCACCGTTCCGTCTGTTTCTTGGTCATCCCCTCTGTGGCACATCATGGGCATGCTGTTGATAAGGTGCATCATCTTCATGGCCATCCCACATGACAGTATCTGGATGGACGCCTTGCTGGCAGCATGGGCTGTGATTGATGTCGCAACAGAGACGCGGCAGCTCAGGCAGGATTATATTCTTTACGCTGGCTTCACGTACTCATCTGCTGGATTGCATTCTCGCAGTTGATTGCCACTCATGTTGGCCATTCCTTTTCAGTGGGCCGACGGATTGCAGGAGAAGGGCGAAGCGACACACAAGTTGTTTTTATCTTCACTTCCGCGCTCGTAATGACACTGGTTTTCGCAAAGGAGTGGTCGATTACGTCTGCGTTCCACCGCCAGCTGATTCCTATGCATACGATGGAGCTTGTGCTGGACAACGCCGCCGATGGCCAGTGCATCTTGAGCCAAGAGTCTGGCACCGTCAACAATGCCAGCAGCTCCGTCACTGATAAGTCGGGGGTGGATAGACCTCCTACCCTGACACGTCGATTAAGGAATTGGCCGTTTTCGGTTCGCGGGAGGGCGTCGCTGCCGTCATTTTTGCGGGTCCAGCGCCGAATAAGGGAGGATTGTCCACCGCCGAATAATCTTGGCGCGAACATCGTCGGCGCAACGACACCTGATCATATCGTGAGCGACGAGGACAGGCAGGGGTTAGCGCCTTTGCTGCGCGAGAGGGGCCCGCGGCCCCCCGGGCCCCATCCTGGGCCGCCTTCCTGCGCAGGCCGACGCTGCGCGGCGTGCCCGCGGCCCACTTCGAGGCCAAGGTCGTCCCCCTGCGCGTTCTCCTTGGGAGGGGGTGCGCGTGTGCCTGCAGGCAGAGGTCGGGGGCGGGAGCGGCCCTGTGGAGGTCCCAGCGGACACGTGGGCGGGGCACCGCGGCCCTGGCCGAGACGGCCGGGCAGCTGGCCGGCCATGGGCGTCGGCGCCCGACGGGTGCCCCAGTCTCTGCCAGGAGCCCGTGGCATTGACGAGGAGAGAATTTTCTCCCTCCTCCCTCCTCCCTCCTCCCTCCTCCCTCCTCCTCCTCCTCCTCCTCCTCCTCCTCCTCCCCTCCTCCTCCTCCTCCTCCTCCTCCTCCTCCCTCCTCCCTCCTCCCTCCTCCCTCCTCCCTCCTCCCTCCTCCCTCCTCTTATAGAACAAGACAGGTGCGCCTCCGGACCACGGGCAAGAACAGGCACAGGACGACGAGCAGACGAGGGGAGAATCTTGCTTCGAGCGTGAGCTGGTCTATGGCACGGGGAGCACTTTCGCAATTTCCCACAGCAGGGTTCGCAAATCCCATATACTCCGAGCGAGCATCGCACGAGGGGCGTCCCCATCGCAGGCGGTTTCCGCGGTGGCGTCGGGCCCCCCGCCACCCCTGTGGGGCATCTCTCGGCGCCGCCGTGGCGTGGAACCCCGAAGACGACATGCAGCAGTGGAACGCGGGGCCCCTTCTGAGCCCGGCCCGACACGTCGAAGCGCCAGGTGCCCACATTCAAGAGTACGCCTGAGCAGACCAGACAGGATTGTCTGCTGTGCGCGATGCGCTCCAGCAAGCCCGCGGGACAGGCTGTTGCATGAAACGCATCAGCATGGCTGCCGCGAGGCGGTCCTTCGACAAGCTCGACTCGGAGGGATGCGCCGACATCGCCTTCGGTGACCGGCAGTGCCCGGAGTGCCTCGCATTGGTCTTGAGTGTGCCTGGGGATCCGCGCGGCAGAGTGGTGTCATGAAAGTCGTGCGGGGAGTGCGTTCGTCTTATGTTGCCGAGGGGATCGATGGCCAGCGGCAGATTTGTCTCAGCGTCTGAGGAACCGTCGACAGACAACGCAGGCAGAGGCACCTCGTAATTCACGATCATAGTTGACCGGAGTGGTGTTGGCAGCCTAGGTCTTGATGTGGAGCTCCTGGACTCTGCCATCTTCATCCTGTCGGTGGAGGGGGGGGGGGGGAAGTGGAATCGCAGTCGCAGTGAGGCAGAGGTGAGGGCTGGCGACAGCCTCGTCGAGGTGAACGGCATTCGGGGCAGCTCCGAGGACATAGCCGCCGAGTGCAGGCAGAACGACGAGGTGCTGGGGATGGTCGTCCGAAGGTGCAGCACCCCCGCGGCCTGAGAGGCATCTTCCCTGCGCTCCGAATTCGACGCGTTAGCGCTGGCGCAAGCAAGACGCGAGGAAGACCTTGTCCCTCTCCCCCTTGAATTTCCTGGCTTGTCGGAAGAGCTGCAGCGAGCGTTGCCGAGTCTTTCCAGGTCGCGCACTTCTGTCCAGATTTTGCTGCAATGTGCACTTCGTATGGTTTTTGAAAAGGGATTGTGGAGGGTTTTGGCAGGGTGGGCCCGGCAATGTGCATTTTTTATTGTTTGTTGAAAGGGATGGTGGGGGGGCCCTCATGGTGTGCGCATGGTTCCGGGTTGGCTGCTGGCCGGGTTGGGGAGGGGGTGTTTATTAATAGGGAACAATGATAAACCTTTCCCCGAAGGGGTAGAAAGGGGATTGCAAGAGGAGCCTCCCTAGACCACCTACGCCCAGAGGCCTGGTGGGATCACCTGGGAGAAGAGCACTCTGATAGATCGGCACGACAAGGAAAGGGAGGAGGGTCCAGGGCGGCCAAGGGGGCCGTGATGACTGCTCATGGGGGGGGAGGCAAGGGGCGGCAATGTGCACCATGCCGTTCGGTTTCCGCCCCGTCCTAAGGCCGCCGTCGCCCCTCGCAGAAGGGGGTCTGTAAGAACATCGGTGGGCCAGTCCCCAGTCTCAGTCCTCGCTCCTCCTCTTCCTCGCCTCCATCATCTCTGTTTCGTCCCTCCCCGCGCCCGTTGCCGCCGCCTCCTTCTGTCTCCGCCGCCTCCTCCCTCCTCTCACCTCCGTCCCCGTGCCCCTCTCTGACCCCCTCGTCTTTTCCTCCCTCCTGCCTCCCTCGCGGCACTGGTGGCACCTGGCGGGCCGAAGCGATCCGACAGCGCCTGCCCAGCCACCCGGCCCCTACCGGGAGACCCCAGGCCGCTGCCTGCACAGGGCAGAGCCTGCTGTTCGCCTCGTCTTCGGCAGCTTGCCCGCGCTCGTGCTCGCTTGCGTTCGCTCCCGAGCTGCTTCGCTCGTCGAGCTGTGCGTGCTTCTGCCGTCCGCTCGCTCTTGCCCTCCCTCCTGCCCCGGTGTGCTCGGGCGTGTGCCTGACCTGCCCGTCGTCAGGAGATGGGTTGCGGCGGCTCCGACCCCTACGACTGCCGCTCTGGGCTCGCGGGCTGGGAGGACCGCTGGTCGGCCGACAAGAAGGCCAGTCGAGAAGGAGGAGGAGGAGGAGGAAGAGGAGGAGGAGGAGGACGAGGAGGAGGAGGAGGAGGAGGAGGAGGAGGAGGAGGGGAAAAGGGAGCAGGGGGACCCGCAGCCATTTTGGCCCAAGGTTTGGTCCAGGACATGGTCGACGTCCTGTGAAGTGGGGGGCACCTGTTGAGATACTGTACCGCTCAGGCTGATCCTCAGGCGAAGGCTGCGCTGTCCAGAGTTATTCGCTTCTTTGGGTTGCCCTGACAGTGTCGCGACAATTCGTCAACTCCTGTCACCGTGGCCGAGGAAACGGATTGGCATCTTCGAGGGGTAATTACACGAGCGAGGGCAAACTTCCGACCCAGAAGCATAGCAGCATAGCAGCTTGTACGTCAGCGCCATCGCGCAGACAACATGCAGCATCAACGAGAAGCTCGTCAAAATGGACGAGTTCTCGCCCCAAGGGTGGTCGGTTTGTCAAAAAACATAATTGGCGGTATTTGTGCGGACGACCGATTGAACCGACTGAGGTCCAGCAGGTGATTGCCCGCATTACGGCATCGACCCGAGCGGACGCCACGACCCATGAAGTCCTCGTAGAGCCCCCTTTCGACACCAGCGAGTTGAATACGTTCAATGACACCAACCGAACACGTGCGATCAACTTGGTTCACTTGGTCATAGCAGCCAAAGAGGTAAACCGATCCTGCGACAGCGTCATTCTAGTTTTTTTTGCAAACCATGTGTCGGATTAACGAGTTTCTTGCTCGACACCCTCACGTGGTGCGTACCAGTCAGGACAAACAGGTGGAGCGGTTGAAGGTCATCCGTGAAATCGTCATCGGCCTCGTCGACAAGGAGCATGTAAAGCATGGAAAACTGAAGATGATACACGCCAGCACCGCCGAACTGGAAGAGTTTACTGCCGACCACAGAGGCGAATCCATGGATAATCAAGGGTCCGCCAAGAGGTGAGAGTCACTGACAGTACCCAGCGGGAGCGGCTACACCTCAGACAGCGAACGGGCTAGCCTGAGTTGTTCGTTTTCTCACTCATTGTTTTACCGATCGGCGCGGGCCCTCGCACTCCTCCCCCCCTCCCCCCGATGGAGTAGATCTTGGCTGTTTTGGGGCCTGTCTCAAGCAGATGGACGGCTCCCCACAGAATTCCCCATTGGAGCATTGTTCCAAACTCTCGAACCAGGCAGAGGTCCGGAGCCAGACCCCCCCCCTCCCCTCCTTTTCCGCCCAGTGCGAATAGCCCCGCGATGGCCCGCCTTGCCACGCAGCCAAATAGCCGGGCGTGGGACGAATCTCTGCTGCGGAGCCCTGGCAAGCATCGCATTCTCGTAGAAAGAGGAGGGGGAGGATCCCCTTTACTCGACGGGAGCCCGTACTGCATCGGGCGGCCTTGATCTTCAGTTTTTTCCTAGGTCCCTTCCTGGCTGCTTCGTCGACCCGTCGGACCTCGCTGCCCCGAGGCACGTGCCCGCACGCGCAGCCGACGCTTGCACGCATCGGGCTTCGCTTCCGCCCAGTGTCGACTCGCCGAACAAGAGAGAGATCGTTCACCAGCCGGAGTGGCGTCAGGGCTTCGACGCAGGCCCTACAGTCGGGGCGCTGAAGAAGGAACCCTTTTCGTTTGGGAGGGGCTCGGTGTTCCTTGATTCTTTCACAGTTTGCCGCAGGTTTCCCTTAGGTTTTCGATGGGACGTCGAAGTTTAACTTCTGGAGCAAAGGGGCCTCGTTCCTTATCTTGGGTTCCTCAGGTCAACGCCCCGACGGTACGCGGAGCGTGGAGCACGCCGGCTCCAGGGGGGGCCCTTCCTCGGCCACCGCCAGGACTAGGACCGCTCGACGGCCCGGCCAGCGTCCTGCCCAGGGTGGGGAGGGATCGCCCACTCGAACGAAGGCTTGCAAAAAAACCCTTCGAAGGATGGATTGCAAACAAAACCCTTCGAAGGATTGCAACAAAACCCTTCGAAGGGTTTTTTTTTGCAAGCCTTCGTTGCAGTCCTTCGTTCGTGTGGGGGGCCGTCCGAAAAAAGGGCCTCGCCCTCGAGGAGCGAAGGAGAGGTGCCGTCTCTCCTAACCCCGGCGGCAAGGGCGGCCGGAAAGGGCCGGCGGAAAGGGCCGGCGGAAGCAGATCAGAGCCCCGAATCATCAGGGGTAACTCGGGTCAGGGCTAACTCGGGCCCCTTTTTCGGCCTCGTGGCGATCTTCAGAGCCCCTTGGGGCGTCTTGGGTGCCTCTTGGGGCCTCTTGGAGCCTCTTTGGGGTCGCTTTGGCGGATGGAGTCTCGGGGCCTCTTGGAACCTCCTGCAGGCCTCTTGGGGGCCTCTTGGGGGCCTCTGGGGCCGACCTGGGGCTCTCTTTGGGGCCTCCTCGGCTGCCTTGGAGCTACCTCCAGCGGTCGCAAACCCAAACATGCGAGAACACCCTCCAACAACCTGAGGACCATCACTTGTATTTGCCTCGCTAGGCTCTCCTGGAGGGCCTCGCGCAGCCCTCTTGGGCCGTCTTGGAGGGCTCTTGGGATGCCTTGGGGCCGTCTTGATGTCCTGTTGGCTGTCTTGGAAGCCATGTTGGAGGCCATCCTGGCCGACTGGAGGCCGATAAACCCTGCAGAAAGCAAAGCAAATTCAGAGGGGGGTGTTCAGAACCCCGCGCGCGTCGAGGGAGGGCGGGGTCGGCCCTAGAACGACTAAAGAACCTCACCAGACAACAGTGACAAATTTGACCACGCCGAAGCCGTGCAGGCACGGTGAGTTT